CGCCACTGCACGCCGCTCTGAGACCACCATCTGGGACGCGCTGCTGCTTTGCGCCATTGGGATCGGTTCCTGGTCTGCGCTCCGGGAGGGGAGTCACACTCGGCACACAACATCATGTATACTTGTTATTCTTTGGTAAAGCCACGTAAATAGAATTTTTTTTTTTTTAAATATCACGCAACACAAGCAATCGTCATCCGGTGATGAAATATAGCGGGAGAGCTGCCGAGGCAGGATGTTATATAGGTTTGAGATGGGCGTAGCCCAAGGGTCATAAGTGGGCGGGGCTAGAGATGGAATTTGCATGTCAATGTAAGATCGGAGAGCTGCTGAGGCAGGATGTTATATAGGTTTGAGATGGGCGTAGCCCAAGGGTCATAAGTGGGCGGGGCTAGAGATGGAATTTGCATGTCAATGTAAGATCGGAGAGCTGCTGAGGCAGGATGTTATATAGGTTTGAGATGGGCGTAGCCCAAGGGTCATAAGTGGGCGGGGCTAGAGATGGAATTTGCATGTCAATGTAAGATCGGAGAGCTGCTGAGGCAGGATGTTATATAGGTTTGAGATGGGCGTAGCCCAAGGGTCATAAGTGGGCGGGGCTAGAGATGGAATTTGCATGTCAATGTAAGTTCGGAGAGCTGCTGAAGCAGGATGTTATATAGGTTTGAGATGGGCGTAGCCCAAGGGTCATAAGTGGGCGGGGCTAGAGATGGAATTTGCGTGTACGAAGCTGTGGAGGTGGCCTTTGTATTGTGAGAGATTGGCCTGTCAATGTAAGAGAACCACCGCAACGGTAGCTGTACTAGTGAGACATTTAGCCTGGTAATGTGAAGACATTTAGCCTGTTAATGTAAAGACATTTAGCCTGTTAATGTAAATACATTTAACTTGTTAATGTAACTCAGAGAGTTGGAATTTTTTTTTCCTGCCTCAGCAGCTCTCCCGCTATCTTTGTTCACCTGATGACGATTGCTTGTGTTGCGATCGAAACGTCGTGATATTTGTATTATTCTTCGTCTACGTGGCTTTACTGAAAGACACAAAGAATATGAATTCTTGCAGTCACGAAAGCTTTAAGTCATGATGTATACTTCTGTTTATGGCTACTTCTAGTCACGTGCCACCTCCCTATTCAGCGACAAATGAAGCCCTGGCGCAGTGCACCACTGCCCCCGTACGCGAGCTGTGGTTTTGACGGAACACGGCTCGGACAGACCACCGTCAGAGTTCCAAGTCTCAGGCTTGAGCCTCACTCGGCAGTGCAGTGACATCGCTGCTGCACGGCGCTCATTATGGCGCTCGCACTGCCCCCCCCCCCCTCCTTTAGACCAAGGGTCAGAGCCGATATTGCTAGCACCTAAGGTAGCAAAACTTTAGTCGTACCAATATAATACAGAATTTCATAATCCCACTAATCTCAAATAATTTTGGTTTTGTTTATGGTTTATTTTGGAGCGGGTAAAACCCATTGGGCAATAAATGCAATTTTTTTTATGAGTCATCGGTTACACAAATAGAAACCTGATGACAGCAACAACAACATTACCAACACGGAGCAAACGGCACACAATGGTTTACACGTGGTTTACTTTCATTGGCCAAAAATTTGCATCCACTAAAGTGATGCTTAGCGAGGGGCATAGCGGGGGGGGGGGGGGGGCACAGCGCATTTGTCTGAATATGTGTGCGCCCGCATGTCACACTCGCCCCTCGTTTCCATGAACACTTTGCGAGCGACGATAGCGAACGCCTCCTGATCCTCGCTCTGTACGCATTCTGTCTGCACGGCATGGTATTTGCCGTATCTATTTATTCACCCCCAAAAATCCTGAAATCTGCATGGGGTGCAGGAGTTTCAAGAGTCGAGGAGCAGTAGGAGGAGTGGGGGCTGGGTGGGAGGGAGGGAGGCGGCGTGGCGCGCGCTCCCTTCTGAGCCAGTCCCACGTGGCTCACTGCCGCTGCATCATTTCCAAGTCCGTGCTCTTCAAGCGCTCCGAAGCGTTTTGAGTGAAACTTGGAAACAAGCGACAGGGAGCGCGACACAGCCCACTGAAGCAGCTCCGCTCCGGTGGACTCGGCGTGGCCGGTGCCCCGAGGGAGGGGGCTGCCATCGGGAGGAGGAGGCGCTGGGCCCGGCTGCTGTGGGGCGAGCTGACGCTCCAAATAACACAGAGAGTCGGCTAACACAACAGTCAGCACCTTACCTGGTGGTTACGTTCTTCCAAAGATTACTTAATTTGAGAGAGAGACAAAACACAGACACAGGGACACACAGACAGACACAAGCAGAGAGAGACAACACAGAGACAGAGAGAGAGAGACACAGCACACAACCCCCCCCCCCCCGCCATATTTGTCTATTTAAGGCCTCAGCACAGAGGCGTTGGGTCTCTGTGTGTCTATGTTGTGTCTCTTTGTGTCTCTGTGTTGTCTATCTGCTTGTGTGTCTGTCTCTGTGTCTCCATGTCTGTGTTTTGTCTCTCACTCAAATTTAGCAAATCATTTATTTTCTTTCTACGTGACTTTTCCGAAAGAACCAAAGAGTAATTCCCGCAGTCACGAAAGCTTCAAATCAAGTTTTATTTAATGATTGTTTATATATTTTTAAGATAAAGAATGCATTCAAATATTAAAAAATACCCCCCAAAATAAGTGGGCGAATTTAAGTCTCTTCAAATCGAGGTGCAGAATCGATGCACTGGTCTTAATTAATTAGTCTCAGTGAGAACACAGAATCATCTCTCAGCATCGTTAATGATAAATGATTTTGATTTAAAGCTCTTGTGACTGCAGGGATTCATATAAAATGTTATTGTTTTATATTTTTATTATTTTATTGCTTCCCTTCTACGTGACTTTACCGAAAGAACCAAGAATATGATAAATGATTATCAAACCAAGCAGGCAACATACCTCCTTACATTTTTCTTGCCACATGACAAAAAAATAGTTTTGTTAGCACATTCCATCGGTCACGCCTTCCGGGAGTGAATTCTATCATCAAACTTGGTTCAAATTGAGCAAAACTGGTTTTGACATTGAGAATAGGGTTTCCCCTTTTTTATGGCAACAAAACAGGTGTTGAGATGCTAAAACACCAAACTGAAACATTTTACAAGGAATTATGTCTGCATTAACCATTATTATTACTCTGATAGTGCATTGTCTTTGTGCTGTACGCCTTTTGGCATCCTCTGGTCTAATACCGTTTGGGACTAGGCACAATTGAAAGGTGTCTATGGTGTGGACCAATCAGTTTCAAAGACAATGCATATATTATCAGTGTTTTTGGTTGCATTCTGACCACTAGTATTGTGGTTAATGCAGACATAATTCCTTGTAAAAGGTTTCAGTTTGGTGTTCTAACATCTAAACACAGCTGTTTGTTGCCAGAAAGAAGGGGAAAACCTATTCTCATATTTTGGTACTGGCAAAGGAGGTCCCATGATGGTTTTGACATTCCTTTCAGCGTCTCATCAGAAGCAGTTGGGCTGCTTTAACCATTGCTGCTGAAATGGTCAGATGTTTATAGGCAAGCGCCATTTCTGTTAGATATGGGTCCTAGTTTGACACAAAACTCCAATACACAGCAGCAAACAATAATTGGCGCCATTGTGAAGACTATTAATAACAAACAGAAATCCTTCACATGTCAGCCCCTCCACGTCAAACGAGCAACATTTTTACGCGACTTGAAAGAGAGAATCTTGTGTCCTAGCGACCGGAGGACTTTGTGGCGCCGTGCGGAGGTCTCGCTGCGCCCAATTCCGAGCGTGGTGCGGACGGCCGCCCAGGATCCCGCGGGGGCAGCGCCGGTGGTAGCGGTGGTGGCGGTGGTGGTGGCGGTGGTGGTGGCGGTGGTGGCGGTGGTAGCGGTGGTGGTAGCAGTGGTGGTGGCGGTGGTGGCGGTGGTGGCGGTGGTGGCGGCGGTGGTGGCGGTGGTGGCGGTGGCGGCGGCGATGGCGGCGGTGGTGGCGGTGGTGGCGGTGGTGGCGGTGGTGGTGGCGGTGGTGGTGGCGGTGGTGGCGGTGGTGGTGGCGGCTCTGCATGCGAGACCCCTTGGTGCGTTTCCTCGTTAAGCCGTTGCCGCGGCCACCTAACAAGATGCCCGGCACAGCGACGCTAATGATTGCCTGCAAAGATTTGCGTCCAAATAATTAATGCACACCGTTGCTGCCTTGTGTTGAAGGCCTTGGGTCGCTTGTAAATTGTGAGTTCTTTAAGCCAGATTATGTTAATTATTGCTATCCAGGGTTAAGTATGGGTTCGAGTTTTGTGCGTCTGTCAAAGGTTACTCACAATCTCGTTCAGATTGGCTTTTGTCAGTATCAAGGTACAAGATGCAATTTAGCTCACTTGCAACCAAACTAGCGTGTGACGCGCTCTGCAATCGACGACAGAACGAATTACAACAGCAGGAGAATGTGTCGTCGTCGTCAGATACGCGACGTGAGAAACGCAACTTGAATAAATTGGCTCGTGCGGATTTAATTACGGACAAAAAGTGTTGCGTTGCGTGTACGTCTCTCGGCCTGTCTGTTCCCATCCTGCGTCGACTTGCCCCTCGCGATGAGCTCTCTCTCTCGTCTACTGATACGAATGCCGTGGCTTCAATGTGCTGGTGACGTCATCACCGCCAAACAGGGCGATGGGAATCTTCTTTACCTCAAAACGATGCCCCACCATGCTCTTGGCACATGGCCTCCGCACAAGTGAAGCGGCTTCCCCCGTGATGGGTCTGGCCCCCAGGGAGCCGCGTTCTGCCATGCCACCTGCGGCGTGCGCCGCTCGGCGGCGGTCGTTTCGCCCGCTCGGCAGTTTGTTCAATGCAGCAAGTTTGTGTTTTCGATTTCCGTTTCAACAAGAACTTGTTTCGCAGGTTGTGTGCGTGTCATCGCTGCTGGGAGTGCTTCACGGTCATTGTGTACTCGTAGCTTATATCAGGGGTTTTAAAATGTTAATTCGTGTGGTGCAATGCGTGTGTGCGTGCGTAAGAGCAGGCGCCGTGTCTCCCTGGAGGAAGGCTGCTGCGGGGCACTTCTAATCCCACGCCGCCTATCGCTTCCAACGAGGTTCGTCGTCAAGAGCGTGCGTCAGCGTTGCACGTGTGCTGAAAAACGCGTCGGCACCTGGGAAGCGGTGGCGTGGAGATAGCGGTGATGTCACCCGAAGCGTCATAGCGCAAAGCCAGCATTAAAAATAATCTGCATCTCGTGTGCATAACATGGATGGCCGCTGAGAAATGGTCCCAGCGTAATTACCACGATCACTAACAAACAGACCTGCGTGCTTAGAGCCAGGGACTTACCTGGCTCTGTGCCCGTGGAAAGTTCCTGCCAGGCGAGCCTGCTGCTTCAAGCCGCTACTTGTCTGACTGACGATGGTAAATCCTGCCGATGGGAGTCACATTTCAAATTGGTTTTCTCCATTTTTGAATAAATAAATAAAAACTGAACGCATTGATAATGACCGATGCCATGAAAGGAAACAAAATATTAAGTGAAGTCTCCAATTGTTATCTACTCTGTCTCCATGGCCTCTGTGCTATGAAGAAGGACCATTGCCCAACACATCACCTTTGATAGATTAGCCCTTTTTAAGGTTGCAACAGCCTCACCAGAGATAGATTAGTTATGTTTAACACGTAGGCTTTCGCGGCCAATATCATCCATAATAGAGGTTGTTTGGGTTAGATCGCGTAAATATATAAAGGTGTCCTTAAACCTGCCACCACCCAACACAGCCAACTAGTAAGGGTTGTCACGTAAACAGAATGTGCCAATTCGTTACTAGTGCAGCACACCGGTGTGTTGGAGAGCAAAGCCACAACATTTAGAATTTGAGTACGACGTTTTGCCAGTAATTACAACTAGCTTCATCAGGCAACAGACAGATTTGTAGAGAAATCCTCCCCTTTCGTTCCTTAAATAGAGAGAGATGTCATGACGTCACTTGTGAGCCTTTCTTGCGCGAACGGTGGGGGAGCATTAATGAATTTTAATGACTTTGGATACTCATTGTCATTTGCGTTATGGTAATCTACATTATGCAATAAGCGAGCTTTATTGTTCTTGTACCTCGATTGTGTGCTACAAATAGCCGTACTAACGGTAATCCCTATTGAAGTATGGTAAAATAACACAGCGTTTACTGAAAGCACAAACTGACCCCTATCTGAATGGAGAGTCACACCATCACCCCGCACAGAAATCCACTCTCATCAAGACGCTCATGCATTGGGCTATAAAAGTGTCAGATGGTGATAGTCTGAGAAGTTAAATTAAACATGTTAAAGAAGTCTGCAATTGAACGGTGACAATGATGCACAAATGAACAGGGCGTTGAATGCCAAAACCAAATCAAATAACACGAGCGTTGAAACTCACCAAGTAATTAAAGTTATTAAAATACCGTACATTGCGGGAGCAACTGATAAACTCGCCAAATGTCTGGAAAATCAAAACATCGAGTCAGATTTGGCACGGTACATAAAATACAGAAATTACTATCTAGTACAAAAAATGTATTACCGAAGCTATCAACAGAAGGTGTGTACAGGATTAACTACAGTTGTGGCAAATACTATTTTGGGCAAACAGGATGAATGATCAGCACGAGACTAAAAGAACACCAAATAAATATTAAATACTCCCAAATACAACTGTCGGTAGTGGTAAAACCCGTGTGCCAATAAACACACTCAATTGATTTTGATGATGTTGAAGTTCTGTGCAAAACTAATTAGAGAATCTATAGAAATTGAGAGAATTAAAAATAATTTTAACTGTTCAGACAGCTACAGACTTCGTTCTGTTTGGAAGCGAATCATAAAATGAAACATTGTTTAAATGCATGCCTGTACAGGTCACCATACTTCAATAGTGATTACCGTTGGTACGGCTATTTTAGTATACACAATCGACAGGAGGTACAAGAGCAATGGGCTTGCATAATGCGCATTTAATGTGCGTTGATTACCATATAAATCCCCCCGCACTTTGCGCAAGAAGGACACGCACGTGACGTCATCGCATCTATCCCTCTATTTAAGGAATGAAACATGAGTATTTCTCCACAAATCTGGCTGTCGCCTGATGAAGCTAGTTGTAATTACTGGCGAAACGTCGTACTCAGATTGTAAATGTTGTGGCTTTGCTCTCCAACATACCGGTGTGCTGTACTAGTGACGAATTGGCAAGTTCTGTTTACGGGTGGTGGCGGATTTAACGACACATTTATTTACGCGATCTAACCAAAAAAAAACTATTATGTACGCATCCGTCACTCGCTGCATCTCCCTCACGGTTCGTTGTACGGTAATGACGAACCCGTCAAACAAAAGCATTTCTGTTGGTGAGGACATTCACGGGGAAAAAGTCGTCGGTCCGCTTTAACAACGCTCTTCCACCCGAAATTGATAAATATAACGTCGAATCCAAAAGCAGTAGGAGCCAATATCTTGCGGAAGAGCGACGCGGTGTTTATTGGTAGAATCGTCCGGGAGTGCCCCACCGACTTATATTTGAACCTCTTACGCTTGACCTCATCATTCCCTTCAAGCCTCTGGCTCCGTCGCTGTCAACGCCACGCTGCAGGGGCTTGGCATCAAAACCTGGACATCTACGAAAAAGAGCTTCATAGCTCATCGGATTCCTCCAGTCTAAATAAAGATTATGATCCCTGCGCAGCACGAGCGGTCACGACGTATCCCACGCACGCGAAGCGCGGGCAGTGCGGGCAGTGCGGGCAGCGCGGGCAGCGCGGGCAGCGAAACGAAGAGGTGGGCGAGATGGGGCGCGTTTCGAAAGTGTATTTTTATAACGAAACCGACAGAGCAAGTTGCCTAGAGAAAAAGACGAGCGTTTAGACCGGCGCGTGCCACCTTCCCTCACGTGGGGATCGGAAACATGGACTCGGCTGAAAAGTGCACGGAGCGGCACGCGGAGTAGCACGCTTGAAGGTTCGCCGAGACGCGACGAGAGGGGGAAACGGCCCTGCTTGGCGAGAGGCTCTGCGCATGCGTCCAGGACGTGCAGCGACACGCGGTGCCGCTCCGCACGCCGCCGGGAGGCCCCGCGCTGGCCGGGGCTCGCGGACGCGCAGCGCTGCGTTTCCGTTTTTGTCTCTCTCCGACCGTCTGCTCAGTGTGCGTGGGCCTCCGTCGCCGAGTGTCACCTTCCCTGCGCGACCGGTTTTCGGTGTAATTGCCGTGTAGTTTGATCTGTGGGTGCCGGTGGAAGGAAGCGTGCGTGTGCCCGCGTGCGTGCGTGTGTGCGCGTGTGTGCGTGTGTGTGCCCGCGTGTGCCCGCGTGTGCCCGTGCGCGTGCATGTGTGCTCGTTGCCTGTGCGCGCGTGCGCCCGCGTGTGCCTGTGTGTGCCCGCGTCTGCCCATGTGTGCCCGTGTGTGTCCGTGTGTGCCCGCGAACAGTAGAGTGTTTGTGCTGCAGAGTAAACCGGTATGAGACGCCTGTTCACCCGTGTGCCGTTCCCCGCCGGCAGGATGATCAACCTCACCATCTTCGCCAAGCTACTGCTGTCCAGAGAGGCGTCGTTCTTCTTGCTGCTCCTTGCGGGCTTCGGCTTCCTGGTGGTGTTCGTGACCGTCGAGCACCCGAACGGGCCGAGCAACGTGGCCCTCCTCAACCTGCCGAAGTTCTCTGGCGCCGGCGATGACGACGCCGCCGCCGCGTGGAGCGCCGAGCGGCTGCTCCCCGGCCCCAAGTGCTTGCCCAATGACAGCGTTCAAACGAAGTTCGCAAACTTTGCGTGGTTCCCGTCGCACATCCAGCGGTTCCTCGCCTACCGGCACTGCCGCTCCTTCCCGCTGCTCGTCGACCAAGCCGACAAGTGCCGACGCGATGCGGCCGACGGGGAGCGGCCGGTGCTTCTGCTCGTCATCAAGTCCCGGCCGGAGCACTACTACCGCAGAATGGCGATCCGCCACAGCTACGGGCAGCAGCGCGAGACGAGCGGCGTGGTCGTCCGGCGCCTCTTCATCATGGGCCTGTCCTCCAACAAGGACTTCCAGAGGCTGGTGCGCTACGAGAGCGCCACCTACAAGGACGTGCTGCAGTGGGCATTCGACGAGGCCTTCTTCAACCTGACGCTGAAGCAGGTGCTCTTCATGGCGTGGTTCCAGCGGCGCTGCACCGACAACGCCACCTTCGTGTACAACGGCGACGACGACATGTTCCTCAACACCGAGCGGCTGGCGTCCGAGCTGCGGCTCTTACCGATGAGCGAGGACCTCTACGCGGGCCTGGTGATCAGGGATACGGAGCGCGTGAACACGCGGATGAGCAAGTACTACGTCCCCGAGGAGATGCACAGCAGCAACGCGTACCCTCCCTACGTCAGCGGCGGCAGCATCCTCATGACCGCGGCCACCGTCAGGAAGTTCTACGGCGTCTCGCACGAGATGGAGCTCTACCCCATCGACGACGTCTTCTTCGGCTTCTGCGCCGACCGGCTGGGGATAGCCACGCACAACCACCATGGCTTCCGGACGTGGGGGCTGCGGTCGCGTGGCTTCCTCACCGGTCTCCTGGGTGACCGCCTGCCGGCGCCGTGCTCGCTGCGCCAGATGGTCGCTGTGCACAAGTTCAAGCCCAAGGAGCTGCTGCAGCTCTGGAAGCAGCTCCAGGCGACGACCGAGGACTGCTGACGGCTCCCCCTTCACCTCCTCCGTTCCTCCCCCCCCAGACGTGACCACCGTGTTTGTGAACGCTTGGTTTTGCGAGTTCGAATCGTCAATGTTAGAGCGCGCTGGCGCTTTGCTCTCTCCAGAGTGGCCGTCTGCGCTGCGCGTGGTCAGGGTCTGCTGTTGTCTGCTCTCTGCCGCGTGCCGGCTCGGCGACTCGTCGCTACGGATGCCAAATCGGCGATGGCAATGCGGGGCGGGGGTTGTGCATCTCCGCGGTTTGTTCCGATCTCGCGCAGTGCCGCGTCGCCAAACGCGCTCCGACGCCATGCCCCAGCACTGGTGTAGGCGCTGGCCACGGCGGCGGAGCGTGGCAGAGCGCTGCGGTGAACTCGCCGCTCCCGCGAGTCTCCCTGCACATGGCTCGTGATGCTGTCGAGGGGTTTCCACCATGGGTTGTTTGAAGCGGGCTGCCGTGTGCGTTATGCAGGCACGGCGGTCGTGGCTCTCTGTAGCCGTGTGAATCCCGCGGCGAGCCGGTCGCGTTACCGAGCGGCCCCCCGAGTGGCCGCGAGTTCCTCGTCTTGCGTGGCGCTTTGACCCTTGACCTGGGTTCATCCCGAGGCCATGCACAGCTTCCTGCTGCTTTGGTTTTAATTTTGTTTTGGAAAAACGATTCCTGAGCAAAGGCCCAGAACGTCATGTGGCCAGCAGAAAGCGGCACAATGGGAGCTGCGGGCACCCGACGGGGGGAGACGTCGCATCTCCGTGGGATCTACCGGCGGCACGTACCTGCTCTAGAAATGACGGTTTTTTTTGGGGGGGGCGGGGAGTTAATTCGATGCTGTGAGAAAGAAAACACAAATATCTCGTTCAGTGTAGATAGGAATAATCTTGATTTGAAGTTTTCGTGACTGCAGGAATCCATACTCTTTGGTTCTTTCAGTAAAGTCACGTAGTAGTATAAATACGTGACTATTTAATTTTATTTCTACCTACGTGGCTTTACCGAAAGAACCAAAGAGTATAGTTAGGAATAGTTGTTTCGACAGCGCAGTATTTTTATTTCCAGCCCGTGGGGGTGGGGGACTGGAGTTCGCCAGGACGGGGGTGGTGATGATGAGATTATTACGTGCGATCCGTGACGCGGGGGAGCGGTTCGCGCTCCGCCGCCGGTCGACTATGCGAGCACGAAGGTTACGCAAAGTTGCGGCGGCCGACGGGAGAGATTTGCACAACGTCTGGCCGCTGGACGGAACCGGCGCGACGCACCGTTCTCTCCGTCCGTGGTCGTCGTGCGGCCGGCTATGGCCGAAGAGCGATGCCCACAAGGGCCGTGGTGCTGGGCGAGGCGCAAGCGTCCATGCCACCGGTGGGTGGCCACGCCGCCGGCTTCAGTGACCGCAAGTGGAGCCGGCACGGGAGCCGGCTCCACTCCTCTGACAGAGGCCGCCAATTCCACATCGATTTGCATGTGGGAGGACTTGGTGGCCTCACTGTTTGGGTCAGGAGCGTTTTTGTAAAGATGTGTCCATTTATTTCCATCCTGTCAATGATTCCAACCAAATTGTATTTGAACAAATGGCACGACAGCCCTCTGTCGATCTACTGCTGGATAAGGGCATCCCGTGCCGTATCGTTCTTGGGCAATGTTTGACCATACTTCACCACGCTGATCAATGCGTGGGTTGGTGAAGGTGCTTGTTCAAACAAAACCGTGGATTCGTAAACCCATAATGTGGGGAGTCGGCGGCATGGTACCAGCCAGCGAACCCCCGCGGGGTCACGGTCTCCCTCCCGCGTGGCGTGGGATTACATCGGTTTGTTGCGTTTTCTCAGTTACCATGGCGACCGGACACGAGCCTTCTGTTGCCGGCCAACTGGACACGAGCCTCCTGTTGCTAGGCAATAGTACAGTGTCACAGCGCACATTCAGCCATCGAGCAGATGCACGCAAAGCAGAGTGAGGCCCGGGGACAGGGCGAAGCCCACGGTGAGAGAGAGGCGGCACGGCTCGCGCTCGCAGGAAGGCGCTGCTGCCGATGCGCGTTCACGTTTGAGCGACGCCGTCAAAGTAAGCGGGCTTGCACTGGAAGGGACGATGGTTGGTGGACGAGAATCACGACGGACCGCAGGCGTGGCGACGGAGCGGTGGAACAGATTGTGGCGAAGTCCGCGTGCGAGGTGGTGCAGGTTTGGGTGGAGGCCTTCGTCCAGCAGTGCATTGAGCATGGCTGTTGACGGTCACATACAAGTACCGTGAGGGTGGTGCTCTTGTGTGAGGTAGTGCGCAGAAATTGGTGACGCGTGGCACACGGGGAGTGGTGCATGAACACACGATGTCTGTGGAAGCGTGACACTGCGAGTGTATGACGGTGGTGGTGGTGCTGACTGTGGTGGTGGTGGTGGTGAAGGCCCATGGAGACCCTCGCGTTTGTCTTGTTTATTGACTTCATCATTTCACGAGATGATTTATTTGTATAAAAAAATCGTCAGAGCGGTTGTTACACGGTAATCGTAATTTTTATTTGTAACGTGATATTTACATCACTCAGGTCTCGATGTTCAACCTCAAAAGGAACAAGGCTTTGATCGTAATTTCCAAGCGGCTGTTAATTAGGTCAATGCGCAATGTGGACCTTGCACGGCTGAATCTCCGACGCGCGTTTGAGGTGTACCGTGTGTTGCCTGGCACTATGTCCCGTTGATTTGCCCAAAAAGCCCCCGGGGGACGTGGCGCGAAAACGTCGGACGTGCCGAGCAACACACAGCAGGAGCCGAGAACGCTTTGGAGAGTAGCAGGGAAACCGCGGCAACCAGCCCCCAGCGCACGGACGCTCCCTAGTCACGGCGCCATCGGCAATCCCGACACGGAGTGTTCCAAGCGAACGGGTGGGGGATGATGGATTAATGCCTCGTGGATGCTTTGTAGAGTTTCTGTAACGTCGTTCATATGGTGTTCGTGCTAATCGACATTTCGACAATCGCTTGAAGAGGACGTGAGCGAGAGGAGCCCTCTTCGCCGTTCAAGCGTGGACAGGGTTTGAGTCGTGCCCTTGCGGAGCTGTCCCGCCACGGCGTCGCCGCTCGTGTCACTTGCTCGTGTCACTCGTGGTATCACTCGTGGTATCACTCATCGTATCACTCTCATACTCTCGAGTCATCGCTGTGGCAAAAGTCACATCGGCTAAAAATGTCAAACGCCACCTGCCCTGGTGACGATCAAAGTCCGCGGGGCCGCACGCCGATGCGGAGCACTCGCGGTGCTGGGTAGCGCCGTGACACTGCGATTTTGATTTTGCAAAACGCCAGATTGTCTGGTACCGAGTGCTGGACCATGGCAATATTTTCAGGGTTGATGGTCCATACGCAGGACGTCTGGAGCGCACACTTCTGGGCGCCGTGGCGAGCTGTATGACTCGGCCGAGGAAATGCACTCGAGACTTTAAAGAGACGTGCTGACGACGCACAACTCCGTTATTTATTGTGAACTAAGGTTAATCAATGGTCACGGCCTAGGCAGGGCCCTACTCCTCTTGAGCTCGAGGCCCAGGAGCAGTAGCGGCCTTTGCTCGTGGTGATGGAGCCAGACCTGGCCAATGCCGGTCATACCGAGCAAACGGCTCGCGTGAAGCCTGCCGGGCCCCCCCCGGGTCACCGACTCTGCGAGTGTGACTGTAACCCTCCTTGCCGACTCCTGTGACCTAAGCTATGTTCTGATTGTATATTTTTTATAGAGAATATTTTTTTGTCGATTTGTACGCAGTGTTACATTATTATTGAGCCCCAGTTTGTTACTATTTTGTACGCCAATGTACATGTTTGGCTGTAATAAAGGTGAATGTTAAACGTTTTCACGTTCACATTTTACTTCTTGGAATATACTCTTTGGTTTTTTCGGTAAAGTCACATAGGTAAAATAAAATAAAACAACTAAATTAAATCACGACATTTCGGAGGCAACACAAGCTTCCGTCTTCAGGTGGAATAGTCACAGCAGAATATCTGCTGTGACTATTCCACAGATATTCTGCTGACTATTCCACCTGAAGACGGAAGGTTGTGTTGCCTCCGAAACGTCGTGATTTAATTTAGTTTTATTTTACCTACGTGACTTTACCGAAAAAAACAAAGTATGAATCCTTGCAGTCACGAAAGCTTCAAATCTAGAATTCTTGGAATATCTCACGCGGATAACCCCGTGAGAAGGAACTTCCGCAGTGTGCGCGGTGTCCTGGGATGCTGGGGTTGTTTCCCCCGCTTCCGAGTTGTTCCCAGTGGCTAGGTAGGTCACCGTCCATCCCGCGCTCCATCGTGGCGAGTCCTCCTGCGCTACGCTACATCGACTGTCCGCCAGCGAGTGGGACCCGAGCCTGTCCACGCGCTGCTGCGTCCCGAAATGTTTCCGGCGACATGCACGATCGGACACCCTGCCAGAGGGAGAGCGATGCGTGTGGGTGATTCTTAGCCGTTCCCGGACACGTTGGTGGGCGCCTGGACACCGCTCACACCCCCACCACCCCTCACGATGAAGATTCATCTCCACCCCAGGATAATTAGGACTCTTCCCCCCCCCCCCCCCCCCACCCTTGGTATTTTCCACAGCGAGCCAGGGCACACCGGCAATTACGGGCGTGAGGCGCTCCTTCGCACGTGCCCAGGTGACTTCGGTGAAATGTCACGAATCGGGCTCCCAATTAAATTGATGAGCAGACCAACTCTCCAACGGTGTAGTTTGTGGCGACATCTCGTGGCCGCAGATATAATCTGCACCCATTATGATGATGAAGCCTGCACGGACAGTAAAGCAAACATTCTTAGTTGTGATCGGCTGCACGGAGGCCGCTGTCCGCTCACAAACGTCGTTCCACCGCGGCCCTCGACGCCGCCATTCCCGGAATCTGCGGCGCATTGGAGCCGCGGGTCTGTGACGTCACAATTAGGGTCGACTGCGCGTCACGAATTCTCCACTCGACTTTCTCGCGCGCCGCCACGTGGCGCACTGCACACACTCGGCACCCATTCCCAGTCAATGCACGCCACTCGAAAGCCGTCATAATCGAAGTCCTTTAATTGTAACATAATGTGTGCATTTCACGTTTTTATTCAAGATTAGACATGCGCTTTTCTTTTGCAAGTATGCAAATTGATGTGTATGTGTGGTGAACTTCTTTCGCACCGTACATAGCCAACCGTGCTAATCGGAGGTGTGGGGAAGGACAACAGATTAACAGTGCACAGCGCGTTGTTGCTACAGGGGAAATTAACTTAAGTCAGTAATGAATCCGCTGCCTTGACTTAAGTATGGAAGTAATGTGGGTTCCGTGTAGTTTGCATCGTCATAAATGTTGCACGAGTGACTTATGAATGCAGTTTTGCAATTGTCTGATATAATTAAACATGCAGTGTAACCGTAAACATGAGCCGCGACCCGTGGCTTTCAAATAATTTATTTATAGTTACAGAACTCGAAATTAGATTTAAAAAAGTCCGGGCAATCGAGTTATTTAATTATTTTGATCCCCCTCCCTGCCAACGCCCTCCCCCCACCACGCACGATGATGTGTGGTTGAGTGCATGTCTGTGTGGTTGAGTGTTCCTGATGTGTGGTTGGGTGCATGTCTGTGTGGTTGAGTGTATGTGTTTAATGTGTGTTTGGGTGCATGTCTTGTGTGGTTGAGTGTATGTGTTTGATGTGTGGTTGGGTGCATGTCTGTGTGGTTGGGTGCATGTCTGTGTGGTTGAGTGTATGTGTTTGATGTGTGGTTGGGTGCATGTCTGTGTCGTTGAGTGTATGTGTTTGATGTGTGGTTGGGTGCATGTCTGTGGTTGAGTGTATGTGTTTGTTGTGTGGCTGGTTCATGCACGGTGCCATGGTGAATGTTGGTAAACTTGCCCATCTCTGCACCTGCTCACACGTGACCCAGGTCATCACATCGGCAGCCTCTCTCTCCTCTCTTCTCTCTCTCTCTCTGAGTTGCCGGCCGGTGAAAAATAATCCGATTGAACTTGACCGCCTTACAACCAACAGAGCAATCGAGACAACACCGTTGATGTTATTGTTCTCTTCGGTCGGTACCGTTGTGGAAGAGGTCCTCACACCGTCTCGTCGCCGTCGAGGCCTTCCAGGCCCACGCCGTCGAAGCCGTGGCTCGCCGTCTCGTCGAAGCAGGCCAAGTTGGTGGCGTACGTCCCGTCGGGGCCGAGCGACATCACCGGGCGGAAGCACGCGTCGAGTAGAATCTCGCCACGCACGTACGAAGTGCGCTTCTGGAAGATCTGCCCGCTGCCCTCTTGCATGGCCTGTAGGAAGACCACCAGCTCGAAGTGCTCGACCCGCGACTTCTCCTGCCCGCACGGCTCTCGCAGCAACGGCAGCAGGGGGCTGTCGGGGCCCAGCTCGTGGTGGAAGGTCAGCGGGAAGAGGAAGTAGGGGCAGGGCCGGGGCCCCAGGCGGTCCAGCTGAAAGTCGACGGCGCTCTGGCGGAGCGGGTGGCCCGGCCGCGAGCGGTAGAGCACGGCCGACACCGTCACGTCCAGCAGGGCCGACGGGCGCAGGTTGGCGACGCGGAACGCGAGGAGGCGGCGGCGGCGCTGATCCCCGCGGCCCCCCCACACCACCGCCGCGCTGCTGAAGCGGATGGTGCCGGCGCGCAGCTTGGGCCGCGCGATCTTGGCCACGAACGCTCCTGGGGGCGGCACGGGGGCGGATCAGCCGGTGGGGACACGAGGGGGACGGGGACACGAGGGAGACGGGGACACGAGGGAGACGGGGACACGGGGGAGACGAAGAGACGGGGACACGAGGGAGACGGGGACACGAGGGAGACGGGGACACGGGGGAGACGAGGAGACGGGGACACGAGGGAGACGGGGACACGGGGGAGACGAGGAGACGGGGACACGAGGGAGACGGGGAGACGAGGGAGACGGGGGACACGAGGGAGACGAGGGAGACGGGGGACACCAGGGAGACGGGGGACACGAGGGAGACGGGGACACGTGGACACGAGGGACACGTGGACACGAGGGACACGGGGACACGAGGGACACGGGGACACGAGAGAGACGGGGACAGGAGGGAGACCGGGACACGAGGGAGACGGGGACACGAGAGAGACGGGGACACGAGGGAGACGGGGACACGAGGGAGACGGGGACATGAGGGAGACGGGGGACACGAGGGAGACGAGAAGACGGAGACACGAGGGAGACGAGTCACGAGGGAGACGGGGACACGAGGGAGACGGGGGACACGTGGACACGAGGGAGACGGGGACACGAGGGAGACGAGGAGACGGGGACACAAGGGAGACGGGTCACGAGGGAGACGAGGACACGAGGGAGACGAGGAGACGGGGACACGAGGGAGACGGGGACACGAGGGAGACGGGGACACGAGGGAGACGAGGAGACGGGGACATGAGGAAGACGGGGGACACCAGGGAGACGGGGACACGAGGGAGACGGGGACACGAGGGAGACGGGGACACGGGGGAGACGACGAGACGGGGACACGAGGGAGACGGGGACACGGGGGAGACGAGGAGACGGGGACACGAGGGAGACGGGGAGACGAGGGAGACGGGGGACACGAGGGAGACGAGGGAGACGGGGGACACCAGGGAGACGGGGGACACGAGGGAGACGGGGACACGTGGACACGAGGGACACGTGGACACGAGGGAGACGGGGACACGAGGGACACGGGGACACGAGAGAGACGGGGACAGGAGGGAGACCGGGACACGAGGGAGACGGGGACACGAGAGAGACGGGGACACGAGGGAGACGGGGACACGAGGGAGACGGGGACATGAGGGAGACGGGGGACACGAGGGAGCCGCGAAGACGGAGACACGAGGGAGACGAGTCACGAGGGAGACGGGGACACGAGGGAGACGGGGGACACGTGGACACGAGGGAGACGGGGACACGAGGGAGACGAGGAGACGGGGACACAAGGGAGACGGGTCACGAGGGAGACGAGGACACGAGGGAGACGAGGAGACGGGGACACGAGGGAGACGGGGACACGAGGGAGACGGGGACACGAGGGAGACGAGGAGACGGGGACATGAGGAAGACGGGGGACACCAGGGAGACGGGGACACGAGGGAGACGGGGACACGTGGACACGAGGGAGACGGGGACACGGGGGAGACGGGGACACGGGGGAGACGGGGACACGAGGGAGACGGGGACACGAGGGAGACGGGGACACGGGGGACACGAGGGAGACGGGGACACGAGGGAAACGGGGACACGAGAGAGACGGGGACACGAGGGAGACCGGGACACCAGGGAGACGGGGACACGAGGGAGACGGGGACACGGGGGACACGAGGGAGACGGGGACACGGGGGAGACGGGGACACGAGGGAGACGGGGACACGAGGGAGACGGGGACACGAGGGAGACGGGGACACGAGGGACACGAGGGACACGAGGGAGACGTGGAGACGGGGGACACGAGGGAGACGGGGACACGAGGGAGATGGGGGACACGGGGGAGACGGGGACACGGGGGACACGAGGGAGACGGGGACACGGGGGAGACGGGGACACGGGGAAGACGGGGACACGAGGGAGACGGGGACACGGGGGAGACGGGGACACGAGGGAGATGGGGGACACGGGGGAGACGGGGACACGAGGGAGACGGGGGACACCAGGGAGACGGGGGACACCAGGGAGACGGGGGACACCAGGGAGACGGGGACACGAGGGAGACGGGGACACGTGGACACGAGGGAGACGGGGACACGTGGACACGAGGGAGACGGGGACACGAGGGAGACGGGGACACGAGGGAGACGGGGACACGAGGGACACGAGGGAGAGGGGGGAGACGAGGGAGACGGGGACACGAGGGAGATGGGGGACACGGGGGAGACGAGGACACGAGGGAGATGGGGGACACGGGGGAGACGGGGACACGAGGGAGACGGGGACACGAGGGAGACGGGGACACGGGGGAGACGGGGACACGTGGACACGAGGGAGACGGGGACACGTGGACACGAGGGAGACGGGGACACGTGGACACGAGGGAGACGGGGACACGAGGGAGACGGGGACACGAGGGACACGAGGGAGAGGGGGGAGACGAGGGAGACGGGGACACGAGGGAGATGGGGGACACGGGGGAGACGGGGACACGAGGGAGATGGGGGACACGGGGGAGACGGGGACACGAGGGAGACGGGGACACGGGGGAGACGGGGACACGGGGGACACGAGGGAGACGGGGACACGAGGGAGACGGGGAGACGGGGACACGGGGGACACGAGGGAGACGGGGACACGAGGGAGACGAGGAGACGGGGACACGAGGGAGACGGGGGACACGAGGGAGACGGGGACACGAGGGAGATGGGGGACACGGGGGAGACGGGGACACGAGGGAGACGGGGGACACGAGGGAGACGGGGACACGAGGGAGATGGGGGACACGGGGGAGACGGGGACACGAGGGAGACGGGGACACGGGGGAGACGGGGACACGGGGGAGACGGGACACGGGGGAGACGGGGACACGGGGGACACGAGGGAGACGGGGACACGAGGGAGACGGGGACACGGGGGAGACGGGGACACGAGGGAGACGGGGACACGAGGGAGACGGGGACACGAGGGAGACGGGGACACGAGGGAGACGGGGACACGATGGCGCCGCTCCTCTGCCACATTGTGACGCGTCATGATTGCGCAACTGCATCGTCTTCCGTGAGACGGTAATGCGACTGACAAGACTGGCATTACGCCTCTTACACGGGCATAATTGCTAGAAATCAGGACAGTGATCGGTGAGCTGAAACAACTTAAGATTGTGGGCTGCACGGTGTCCAGGCAGTACAGCAACAAATGAAATCCAACTTTGTTGATCTGCGTTACCCCCTCACAAGCGAAGGTGCTCTCCGGGTCAGCAGGCCAACCGATTCTAAGCCCTATCACAATGCAGAACACTCCTGAAAAATAGCCCGAAGACTAAAGGCTTCCTGCATGGGTAACAATAATGGAGTCATTGTTTTTATTTGCAGGGTTAAGTCGTTGGGAGTAGACGAGGGTGGAGGTGAATCCATCGGTGTGGTTCTACTCCTTTGCTCCCACGCCCATGATATCTGCCTTCACCGATCTGTACTGAGACCAGAGCGGTGAAGTATGGCCAAACAACTCCCGCAATCGGCATAGCGTTGGGAGAGCCCTTATCCAGCAGTGGATGACCAGAGGCCTCTCAAATATGATCATCGGCTGTGTCGGGTGGAGGCAGGTGCACGACACACCTTTTATTCACGCGGTCCGACCCCAACATCTATTACGAATCGTGCTATCGATACACGTGTTAGAGGTATTACAATGTTGCTCATCCCTAACATTCCCTCGAGTCCTCGCGTTCACGGTGCGGGGGGCACGCTTAGCGTGTGGCGGGGCGAGGTGTAACGCAAGACGGGAGCGATGGTCTCCAATCCAATCCGCTTCCAGGACCGCCCGGGTCGGCGTGGGTCCGGCGCGGACTGCAGCACGGGAGGAGCCCCACCTGTGATGAACGCCTCCGTCATGAGGCCCAGCAGCATCTGCACGGCGAGCAGCACCACCCCCTCCACACAGTCCCCGCTGGGGTACATGGTGCCGTAGCCGATGGTGAGCTGCGTCTCGAGCGCGAACGAGAACGCGGCCGTCATGCTGCCCATGTACTTGACGCACACCGTGCGGTTGGGTGGCGGGTCGTCCGGGTCCACGTCCAGGTCGCCGCGGACCAGCGCCAGCAGGTACCACAGGCAGCCGAACAGCAGCCAGCTCACGAGGAAGGTGAGCGAGAAGACGAGGAACACGTAGCGCCACTGCATCTCCACCAGCGTGGTCCAGATGTCGCGCAGGTAACGGCGCAGGTGGCAGGGCCGCGCGCTCGACGTGAGCGCGCTGCTGCCGTCTTTGTTGACGAGCCGCTGGACGGGCGAGAGCGTCCCCATGGCCAGCAGCTCCTGGGTCGCCGGATCCCCCTTGTCCATGGCGGCTCCTCGCACGACTACTGCAGCGCGCACGCAGAACGCAGCGCAGGTCCCCCGCGTCCGTGGAGTGTTAGCGAGCACCTATTCAGGCCGGTGCCGCCACCACCACACCCATCCAACTTTGTCTCTCCATCGATGTTTCTGCACGGCACCAGCTACTCCTTTAAGACCGAGTCACTCTAAGGAGATGCCCCTCGACAGATTCATTCATACCGCCATTGGCACCAGTAGCCAGGCTCTATCCGATGCTGGATGAAGACACCACCACCATCTAACGGTCTCGTGAGGAAGGAACCCATCTCCTGCAACTGAGCTCATCTCGTTGCTCCATCTCTCCTCCGGATGGCACTCCTCCTTTGTCAGCCTCGAACCTCAGCCGACATCGTCTCCCCAATGTCGATGTCACTGCGGTGCCTTCGTGTGGCAGGGATGGTATTGTCCCGGTTCGTTTTTAGTGCAATTTTATTTTGGGACAGTGATCTCTGATATAAATGAATGCAAACGGTGTCACGCGCAATCTGCACTAAATTGCCCTCATTGCTTCTTTCCCACAGATATAAACCGCGCTGCTAGAGGACTTAGGCGCCGACTGCTCACAGAATGGCCGAGGGGAGAGTAACGAAGTCAACGAGCAGACAACGCGCGTCCCTCCCATCGCTCTTCCTCCACATGAACACACACACGCGTCTGTGTTGCTCATCTCATGAGCCATACGGCCATCTGGCAGTGCATCATTTCAGCAGCACAAGCAAAACTCTTGGTCGGTTTCGACATTCAGTGTCTCACCGGCAGCGTGGGGCTGCTGCGCTTGAGCCTTGTTTGGGGAGACCGTGGTGCCCGGTGGGACTCGGGGCGTCTTTAAGTCCAACCCACAATGCAACGCTCACCCCCAGCGTAGTTTAACCCCCAGAGGGCCACCGAAAGAGCAACTGAGAGCAGCAGATCCCTCTGACACCATATCCCTCAAAACACTCGCGACTCAATTGCAGAACTGTCCTTCCTGGCAATAGCCTAATATTGCAGCGTGCCCCCGTCTTTAAGACAAGTCTGGAGACTCCGTGGGGCTCCCATGGATAAATAATCGTAGTAGTCGTCGTTGTTGTGCAAGGGGGATGCGAGAGGACGTTTTGTGTGTTGCCTTGGTGAGTTGTAACCCCTCACAGCAGGGACATTGCGCTCTTTCTTGCGTGTCGTAAGACTCGGGGACAGGCTTATCGCCAGCGTCGGTGGATTGGACAATAAACATCGCTGCTCAGCAGAAAAGCGGAGCTGTGAGAAGTTTGTAATTGGAGCTGACCCGGTTTCTCCGAATCCACAGCGCCTAGAAAGTACAGGGAACCAGCAGCAGGACGCTGTCCCATCACGGCTGAGGGTTTTTGTTGTTGTCGTTTTAAATGCAGTTGCTGAGCACAGGGCCCAAAGGTCCAAAACGTCTGGCAGTCAGCCAAAAACAGCACCATCAAAGTTATAATAGATACGAATGTAATACGTTTTTTTATGATTGTGCATTGGTAACACTCATGTCTCACAGCAAGAAGTACCTGGGTTCGATTGCAGACTTGGGCGACTTTGCGTGGAGTGTGTATGTTCTCCGATTGTCCTGCAGTGTGGGTGTGCGAGTGAGTGCGTGTGTGGAATGGTAGTGCTTTGCTTCAAACTGGTGACCCGAGTTCGATTCCCGCTCACAGCCAACTCCGGTGGCTATTATCTGAACCAGTCATGGAGCAGCACTTAGATTGGTGATACTCCAAAACACACGGGGTTACGAAGTCGCCAGGCAGTGCATCAAGTGGCTTTGGGGACGGGATCACGCGCGCCTCTCTCAGTGGGGTGGGCGGTGTTCTTCGCCGCATGTCAGACACCCGCTAATGGTAACAAAAATAAGTAATTGCTCTGTAATTAAAAATAGTTACATTATTAATTAAATTGACTTATTTTGTTACTTTAATTAACCACAACGATGCAAGTGATTATTTTGCGTCACTCGTTCACAGAATTGGCCGCACACCACAAAAGTCTTGAGACTCAGTGAGTTTGTCCCGTGGTACACAACGATAATTACTCGTAACAACTACTTATTTTTTGACAGAGCCGCCCTCCTATACGCCGTGGCATCTCAGAGCGCGAAACGTCACATGTCATCACGCCAGCGAGTGGAAGGGCGCACCCCCATTGGCGGCCTTCCCCGTGCAGCACACTTCGACTCGGCAACTGGGCTGCAAGCGAGCGGTCGCCCACGATGGGGTCATTTGCGGGGTCATTTTTCACCATTGCGAGGTTTGGGCCAATCCCATTGACGTCTCACGTGCTTCATCAGTGGGAGGAAATCCGAGAACCCGGAGGGGATCCATGCGGAGCAGGGGGACAACGTGAAAACTCGACACGCACACAAAGACAAAGATCCCCCGTGTCGCCTTGACAGATTGTAGGGGCAAGTGCTGTTAGCGAGCACCTATGAAGGCCGGAACTGTACACGAGGGGGTGGATGGCCAGCACCACGCCCGACCGCCTTTGTCTCCCCAGTGGCGATATTTACACACTGCACCAGGTACTCATTTGAGGCTTAGTCGACCTAGGGGAGGTCCAGGACCGGTTCAGATAATCGTCACTGGTGTCGGTCGTGAGCGGGAATCGAACCCGGGTTGCCGGGTTCAATGCGCAGCGGAGCGCTAACCACTACACTACCGCTCCCCAGACACACACACACCTACACACAGACACACACACCTACACACAGACACACAGACACACACAGACACATACATACACACACCTACACACAGACACACACACCTACACACAGACACACACAGACACACACATACATACACACAGACAGACACACATTCTTGCCCGTGTCACGGAGGGTGGAGTGAGCACCGGGGCGAGACGCCTCGCGTCCCTGCCCCCACGCCACTCCAGGGGCGGCGTGGGGGCTAACCCCCCCCCCACCAACACAGCCCAGGCGACCGCCGCGGGTGAAGCTGACCTCGCCGTCCCATGCCACAGCACAATAAAAGTAATCGGGCTTCGTGGTGATTGGTGCCCGAACCCGTCCTGACCTCCGGGTTAGGCTGCAGGGTGCAGGGTGAAGTCCAGAGAGCAGCGGACACAGATAACGACGTGAGCGGCGCGGAGGAGATTCGGGGCCCACACCGATCCTCTCAACCTGACTCTCAACAGACTCTGGGACGGGATCACAGGTGGCACGCTGGGACGGGATCACAGGTGGAACATTGAGACTTGATCACAGGTGGCACACTGAGACGTGATCAAGGGTGGCACGCTGAGACGTGATCACAGGTGGCACGCTGGGACGGGATCACAGGTGGCACATTGAGACGTGATCACGGGTGGCACATTTAGACGGGATCACAGGTGGCACATTGAGACGTGATCACAGGTGGCACGCTGGGACGGGATCACAGGTGGCACGCTGGGACGTGATCACAGGTGGCACGCTGAGACGTGATCACAGGTGGAACACTGAGACGTGATCACAGGTGGCACGCTGGGACGGGATCACAGGTGGCACATTGAGACGTGATCACAGGTGGCACATTGATACGTGATCACCGGTGGCACGCTGGGACGTGATCACAGGTGGAACACTGAGACGTGATTAAGGGTGGAACACTGAGACGTGATCACAGGTGGCACGCTGGGACGTGATCACAGGTGGCTCATTGAGACGTGATCACAGGTGGCACATTGAGACGTGATCACAGGTGGCACATTGAGACGTGAACACAGGTGGCACATTGAGACGTGATCACAGGTGGCACATTGAGACGTGATCACAGGTGGCACGCTGAGACGTGATCACCGGTGGCACGTTGAGACGTGATCACAGGTGGCACGCTGAGACGTGATCACAGGTGGAACACTGAGACGTGATCACCGGTGGCACATTGAGACGTGATCACCGGTGGCACGTTGAGACGTGATCACAGGTGGCACGCTGAGACGTGATCACCGGTGGCACGCTGAGACGTGATCACAGGTGGCACGCTGAGACGTGATCACTGGTGGCACATTGAGACGTGATCACAGGTGGCACATTGAGACGTGATCACCTGTGATCACGCTGAGACGTAATCACAGGTGGAACGCGTCACATACCTTCTTCACTCGGCGCCGCTGGGAGCTGCAGGTGCGACTCGCGATGTCAGCGCGACCACCCAGAGACGAGAGCTGCTCCGTGCCGCGGGCTCCTTTATAGGTCTCCTCCTTCACCTGCGGAGTTCCCTCCCAGCCACCGACCCGCAGGGTCACCGTCGGTGGACCGGGGTTGATGATTAACGGCGATCAACTTCCAGCACCGCGCCTCAGGCGAGCCCAGGGTCAAGGCGCCGTCTCGCCCCGGGCCGCGGCTTCTCAATGTGACCCAAGCGCAATCGCTGCGCTCCCTGCTTCGTCTGCGGCTGCCCCGCATTGCCCGTAGCTCCTTGCCCCATCGGTGTCAGTGGAGGCAGCGAGGGTTAGTGGATCGCACAAATGGTACACAATTCCAGTCGTTGACTCGCCAGGAGAAGGCAGCACAGACAAATGGGGACTCCACGTGTCCCATCAGTATGGGATAGAGTGTTGTCCCCTCGCACGAGTGGGCTTTCCTGACTGCTCCACTTTCCTCCCACATGCAAACACGCATTCATTGTCTGAAAACATCTTAATATATAGAGGACTGCAGAGCTTGAGTAATTGTTGGTCGCGCCAGATCACTGCCTGGCTGCCTTCGTGCTTGTCTGTAGTTCCTCAGGGATTGTGAAATGCAATTTCATAACGACCCTCTATGAACTAAACTCGCACCACACGCACGTTAAACGTAACACAATCTCCAGCGTCGTTGTGGAGAATGTAAGTAACACGGTCTACGAGCCGACATCACGCCTCCTTCCCGGACCTCTCCCACCACATGACAAATAAGTTTCACACATCTAATGGCCTGCTTGCTGATGAGACACGGAATATCGAGTTTTACGTGGGTTAAACCATTGTTGCTGAAAATGTGCATCCCTAGAAGGCCGTGCGTGAATGAGATGTGTACAAACATACTTTCGTTTTTTAATGCGGAGAGACAAACACGGGCAGGAGGCGAATTGGTTGCTTATTGATTTTATTTAAAATGTTACTTGCGTGGTAAAAGTCAGCAGTTTATACGTCAACCCTCTTGTGACTTAATTAGTGAGACCAGCGATTCTTCATCGGCCGCCAGCGGTGAAGGGTCACTCATTAATGTCGCTCATTGCTCAGTCATCGCAGGCGCCTCCCTGGGTCACCGTCCTTTGCACCGCGGACCAAACCCCTCACGTTCCTCAGCCAGCTTCTGGCCATCAGCACTGCGCTCTTTACTCTATGGTTCTATTCCCTGTGTCCTGTCACCCTACACACACACAGCTGATTCTTGTCACCCTACACACACAGCCGACTCCTGTCACCCGACACACACAGATGCCGATTCCTGCCACCCGACACACACACAGATACCGATTCCTGTCACCCTACACACACACAGCCGATTCCTGTCACCCTACACACACAGCCGATTCCTGTCATCCTACACACACACAGCCGATTCCTGTCACCCAACACACACAGATGCCGATTCCTGTCACCCTACACACACACACAGCCGATTCCTGTCACCCTACACACACAGATGCCGATTCCTGTCACCCGACACACACAGATGCTGATCCTGCCACTCGACACACACAGATGCCGATTCCTGTCACTCAACATACACAGATGCCGATTTGGGTGGCAAGAGGAGTCGATTTGCACCGATATATGGTCCCGGTATCGCTGCGTTGAACTTTCTTACAGCGAACTTCGCAGTGTTGATAGATGTAGGCCAGCTGAGAAACACGTGCGGGTTTGGTCTACAGTGCACAAAGTGCCAACCCTACTGGAGACTCGCACAGAGACCATAGACTCAGAGACACAGACTCGCACAGAGTCCATAGACTCAGAGACACAGACTCGCACAGAGACACAGACCCACACAGAGACACAGACTCACACAGAGACACA